TGCAACCTCCGGCAAGCGACGGCCCCTCATCGGACATGTTTCACTGCGTCGACCGTACAAACCGCTGATAAGCCGCAGGCCCTGCCGGCCCAGGGTCTGAGCACGATGCCTGACTCTACGGTCCCTGCGATGCAAAAGCAAATAATCTCCCTGCGCAAGCAGACAGTCATCGTGACACGGGCATGATTCGGCCCAGTGTGCAACACCGTCTATGATTCCGCTAAGCTTAAGAATCATGTCGAAATAAGCGAAAAACAAATTGTCCTGCAACGTTTCAGAAAAACTGTCAATGTCGAAAGCACTCGCTCTGTTTCCTGCATCTTCAGCATTCTGCATGAACGCTGCCTGGTTCCAGCAGCTCCTGATAGCTGGGAGTAACTGACTCAATTTTTTGCAGAATGCAACAACAGCACCCCAGCGATGGATGTAGAGCTTGCCTAGCTGCAGGCTAAGGAATTCCTCAGCGAGGTGATGCAGAGGTGACGGGCGAACACAGTAGTTCACAAACCGCTTCAAGCGACCGCATGACCACAATGCCTCAAACTGCTGCAATTGCTGAAACCATGCCTCCCAATGAGCCAAAGACCCAGTAACCTCCTCCAAAGCGTTGTTCACTATGTGTAGCAGACCCGGTACCGCAAGTGCATTCGGCAAAAATGAAAAGTTGCCTTCTTCATTCCTTGCCAGGCCTTGATCGGGTTGGGGCTGAGCCTGAGGTTCAGATTCGGGATCCGGGGCGGCAACGGCTGGGGCTGGGGAGAGCCCTGCTAAATCATCCTCTAAAACCATGTCCTCCTGCTGCGGCACAGGCTGGGGCTGGGGGAGCCCTTGCACGAACCCTGGCATCAAGTCGGGCTCCTGGGTGCTGGGAAGGAACCACTCTGGCAGCAAAGTTTCCAGATCTTGAACTTGGAACTTTCCTATACCTAGCTCTGTGCCCATATCGGAACAAAACGAAAACACACTTGCAGTGTATTCTGGCAACTTCCGTCTGTCCCCCAGAAGCACTGCCCACTTGTGCAACATTGCAGCGCATTTGTTGGCAGTGGATTCCGCAGAGCTGCCTAGGGCAACCGGAATGTCGTGTATGTGTTGCAAAGCTTCAAGCACGATGACATGGTCGTTCATGGATCTCTCCGACTGCTCCCAATCAGAATCTCTTTGGCGAATACCACAATCAACGATCATTCGTTGAACAGCATGAAACACTGTCAGCACTTCATCAGATTTGATGGACACAGTAGCGCTGTTCAGCCAATTGTTGCCAAGTTGGGGCGATGAATCTGCTCCTGTGAACCGGACATGCCGGGTCGCACTAAAATCCCTGCCGCCTAAGCCACCTACTACTGCATCTCCCACTACAGACTCTGACTCGAGGTCCCGCCTCCAAAGAAGCAGAGCCATGTCCAGGGCCAATCTGGTGTAATGCTTATAGGCGCTTGAAGGAAACACATGCTTGGCCTGCAACAGATGCTGAATAGAATGCTGCATCAATTGCGGAAACAGCAATTCCAGGGCCCCTGCTGCAATCTCTTTAAACGGTATATATGAAGGTATCAAACGGGTCAAGACCATCATCTTCACCAAAAATATAGAAGAGTACGCGAACTTGCTTCCGAGGACCTCTGTAGGTGGAACCAAAGCCGCCCTCACACAGGAAAGCCACCTCACGGAACCCTCCAGCTCCATTTGCAGATCTGCCCTCTCATCATTATTTGCCGCACTTTGCAGCAAGCGGGGGGCCCAAGATTGAATCTTTCGCACCAGATCCGTGAGACCAGCAGGACTCAGTGCACCGTCTTCTGCATTAGGAACATGTGCGGTTGCTGGGCCTACCTTCTGCTGCATTACTGACGGAATTTCATCTAACAAAATGGTCCACCTGCCAAGCGCCGAAATTGTGTGCCATGAACCATGTAGCACAAGCTGCAACAGTGTGTGTGGCATAGGCACGACCAACATGTTTTCAACGTCTTTAGCCCCGCCCGGGATTCTGTGATTCAAGCGCCACTGGGCGACTGACAACGGAGGTTGTGCCTGCAACTGCATCTGCGACAGATTAATGCCTGGTGCATAGGGATGGAAAGGCAAAGTCCTATCGGCAATGCCAACGATGTACTTACCAAGGTCTCTAGGGCAGACTATCCCATGCGCATCGCGGCGCAGCTGCCTCCAGATCTTTGCACTTTGAATCATGAAAGGCTGAGAAAGCTTCTGGCAATCCATGATCTGCAAAGAAAAATAATCCATGGGGAAACGATAATACTCATGCCCATGTTGCTCTTCCTCTGACAAACGTGTCAAGGGCCCCTGCCACACAGAACGTGCTTGCACCAAGGCCACAGCTTGAACCTTGATTCGGGTCTCCGAATCCTGTAACACATCTGGTTTAAGTTTTGGACCAAGCTGCTTCACTTTAGCATTGAACCAATCTGGCTGAGGCAGCGGAAGCCGAATCCGAAGCCTCCGGCCTTCCTGGGCAGCCTGAACATCTACTTGTTTTGTGTTCACCTGGCTTTGCCGCCAACTGTCTGGAAAACCATGCAGCCACACAGCGAACATCCCGAGAACCGAGAACGATCTGCTGACAGCTGACTGCTACGTTCTAGTTTTGCAATTCTGATTCTGCTCTTTCGTGCTAAGTTCTAGTTTTGCAGTCAGTTCTGCTCTTTTGTCTTTGACTGGCCTGAGCCGAAAAACACGAGTCGTGAATCGACGCTTCTCGCAGCCCTCGGTTTCCTCAAGCCTCAGGGTTTCCTCCCTGGTCCCTGGTCCCTGACTCCTGGTCCTCTGGTCCCTCCCTAAATCCCGAAACCTCCATCCACTCCATCCCGGTCCCCCTTGCTTCCTCCCGACTCCCGACCCGGCCACCCCTCCCAGCCTAAGCCTAAACCCCAGCCCAGGCCTCCTACAAATGATTTCTCTTTCAAAGTAGCAAAGGTATTGAATTTCGAATTTCATTCTCGTGGAATTTCGCACCTCTTAGCTTCCCCCGTCTGGGGTACTAGTCGGCTGCGCCACGAAGAGGCGGGTGCGGGTCGCAGCCGGCCGCTAATCGGCACCCTGCCTAAACCTCCAGCCTGAACCCGGTGTCCTACAAATCTTTTATTTTCAAAAATAGCATGGGTGCAAAAAAATGCCCAGTTTGTGGACCATGTTTGATGACATTTGGTTTGAAAAAGCATAAGCAAAGGGATTTTTAACCATGTTGCCAGTGGCCTTGGACCAACCAAGCTGGATTTGAGTTGTTTTGACTATGTCGTCAGTTGCCTATGTTTAAAACAGCCTTTGAACCGATTCCCGACCCACCGAGCGCAAGGGGTGAAGCTAGTAATGTGGATGGCACGGGCCCGCTGCTCCCACATGAAGAGGCCACTCTTATTTCTGGGACAAGTGTCCAATTCGTCCGTCGCGGCTCGGACAGACCAGGACCACTGCGCTTTGCAGATGTTGTGCGCTCGCCGGAGTCATGGTCCTTGCCACCTGCATTCCCCAGCAGATCCTTTCGGGACAGATATTGCCTAGTAAAGGAAGATAGCTGTGCTACATTTCATTTGAGAGGCCATCGCTCCACTAGGTACCGCTCTGACATCGCAGCTGAGGTCGGATGTTCTGAGTCTGAGCTGCTCCTCTCACCTGGACTGCCCAGACCGCCGAATGTGTCAGTCCTGGGACAACGCTGTCACACCGTTGTCATTGCTCTTTCGATTGGCGGTCTCGCCCTTAGCACCCAGCCAGTTGCCGCCCTCATTGATGCCCGCCGAATCCTCCGTGGATGGATTCCCGTCCTCACTGTCGATGGCTGGTTGGACTCCGTGCCCCCCCTTAGGGCTCTTGGTGATGGCCTGCCACAGGGATGGCATGTTGTGTTCCAGGGTCTTCCCACAGACATTCGTTGGGTCAATATCCAGGAGGGGCAAATCTTGATTGCACAAGCACGGTCTGATGCCGCCCCACCCTCGGCCCCTTCTCCCGCGAGGAGCCCCTCCCAGGATTCTTCTGAGCCAGAGGGAGAGGGCGAGCCTGATACTGCCGAGAATCTGTTCCGCTGGAGGAGTACGCCTTCCACAGCTCCACGCCACCAGGCTGGAGCTCCCGTTGACAGAGAGCATTCCAGGCACCGCCCCGTCCAGGCCCAGGATATGCGCTCTCGCACAGCCCCTAGCCACACGAGCCTTAGAAGGACCCGATCGAGATGCATGTGGTCATGCGGAGTTGCAGCTGAAGACGCCCGACCACCGGGCAGCCGCGTCGCCACCCCTGCTACCCTCTCGAGTTCAAGAAAGCTCGGCCCCTACCGCCACACACGCCAGGCCGTCTCTGGAATCACATGGCGTATCACAGATGATCGGCCACTTGCCACTGGGATTGCACTTTGTCTCTTCGGGGTATCTAGCGTTCTTCGGGGCATGTGCAGTGCTCCTCCTCGCTGTCACCGCACGGATGAGAAGAGGAGTGCTACGAGCCGCTAGAGCTCCTGTACCGTGGCTCGCACTTTTCCTTTTGTGTTTCGCGCTGCTCCCTCGAGTTGGAGCAGCTGCCACCCTGATCGGACCGCGTACCCGACAGACGGGTGCTTGTGGGGACACTACTGTCCCAGCGCACTCCCCAGCCTACCCTCCGGCCTTTGGTGCTCGAGGCGTCCCCACGCCCGTCCGATCTCGGCATTGGCCGGTTGCACATGTTACTTCCTCCCAAACTGACCTGCGTAGCCTACAAGCAACTGGTGAATCCACCAATGCAGAAGAGGCGGTCCGAGATGACATATCATCATGGCATTTGAGCACTCTTCTGGAACAGTGTGCCATCGAGTCTGATCACTGGGCCTTCCAGGCCGCCACACTCCTGGATACCCTCTTTGATCACTTTGGATCTGCGCCGTCTTCCACACAGACGTACAGCGACCATGATTCAGCGATTTTGCCTCCTGTTCTCCGGCTCGCCCCCCTTCTTCCTGCTGGCGTCGAACACGACCTGTCACATGTCTCCTTCGACTGTGGATGCAGGCCATACAGCTGCTGCAACCAGGTTGGGAGCTTGAGACCTCCCTACCTGCAGATCTGCACCTCTCACGGCCTGAATGGGGCACTCTCCTGCCACCCGGCACAGACCTTGCCTCACTGCAAAGCATCGATGTGTACACAGATGGCTCCTTCGATGGTACCAACAGCTCATGGGCCTTTGTTGCCTTTGGGGCAAGAGACTGCTGTCTCTATCTCATTGGCTGGGCCGGAGCACGTGTTGACACTCAGCCCGATGCTTCTCTCTACATTGGAGCGCAAGCGCATACTGCACTGGTCGGGGAACAAAGTGCCCTGTTTTGGGCCCTTGCGTGGACCCTGCAGACACCACCAGGTGTGCAGGCTCGCGTACACGCAGACTGCCTGGTTGCACTTCGACAGGCGACAGGACAATATGGGTCTGCCCTACATGAAGGACTGCCTGGTTTCTGCCGCCAAATCTGCCAAGCCGTGCAGACGGCCCACCCTTCTTTCGACTCTGATATCAAACATGTCAGGTCCCACAAAGGCCATTACGGCAATGATCTTGTGGATCTCCTTGCCAAGTATGTGAACCAGATCGATGGCTCTGTTGCCTGTGCTGCTCAACGTACTGCTCCATTCACCAACCTGTGTGCCACTTCCCGGCTGCGCTGGCTATGGGTTGTTCTCCAAGCCACCAAAAACCCTGGAGAATGGCCTAGCTATGTTGGCACCGGCTTCGTGGATAAAGCTCGCCACACAGCACCATTCCAGCTTGCAGCGATCGAGACACAGTCCCTGTTTGGACTTTCGCCTGATGCCCCTGCTGACACCGCTGACCCTACCTTTCGTGCAGACCTGTGTATCTTTACTCTCAATGTTCAGACATTGGCGGAAGCCCCCCCTCCAGGTGCTGTCCCATCCGAGGACGTGTTCCAGGGCAAGGCAGCTTTCCTTCGCGAGCAGTTTGATCATTTTGGGGCGCACATCATTGCCCTACAAGAAGCGAGAGGGGCGGGAGACAACACCTTTGTCTCTAGCTCCCACGTCAGGTTCTGTACGGGAAAGGACAGACAGGGTAATTTCGGTGTTGAGCTCTGGTTCTCCCGTTGTCGCTCTTTCGCCACCGCTAGTGGAGTTAAAGTTTGCTTCGCCCCCAATGACTTTGTCGTTCTGGCGTCCACGCCACGAATGCTGTTGGTGAAGTATACACGCGGTCCCCTGCGGGTTCTATTCGCGGTAATACATGCACCCAGCAGCACCAATTCGCAATGCGCTTCGTGGTGGCGGGAGCTCCGTCAGACCCTGCACCGGTTTGCACACGGCGTTTCCCTTGTCATGCTTGGTGACTTCAATGCACACTTCGCCGATAGTGTCACTGGGCACGTCGGGGAGCTTGTATTCCCCACCAAGCACCCGGCTCCACCCGCCTTGATAGACATCCTTCAGAACTTTGGACTGTGGCTCCCCTCCACGTTTGGCCACTGCCACCCTGGCCCCACAGCTACATGGTGGCCTCCCAGTGGTGGCAGTGGAGCTCGTCTTGACTACCTGGCAGTGCCTCAGTCTTGGGGAGTCTTGCGTGATGGCTCCCAGGTTTTCTCAGCACTTGAATGGGGGCAGGCCAGGGATGATCATCATGCCCTGCGTACCTGGGTGCATTTCCAAGACAGAGGCCGCTTCAGACCACAGGCACGCCGGCCAGTGTATGACAGGGAAGCCATGCTGACCGACAACGGGCGTGATACTCTTCGGCGCATATTTGCGGCTGCTCCAGTGGTCCCCTGGCAGTGTGATGTGCATTCCCATTACACACGTCTCCAAACATACCTTTCGTCTGCCCTGAGCTCTGCATTTCCCGCAACCAAGGGAAATTGTCGTTCCTCGCACTTCAGTCCCCACACATGGCAACTGCGGCAGCGCAGAGTGTGGCTGCGCCGACAGGTTGTACATCTGCGGGCCTGTGTCAATGAAATGCTCCTCCATTGCGGGTGGCTTACTTGGCAAGCGGACATGCGAATGTATGTCGCCCAGCTGACCGCTGTTTTGCGCCGCGGGCGCCAACTTATCACCCTAAGTCATCATGTCAGCGATCTAGCGGCCACCAAGAAGGAGCTCCGCCAAGCCATTAGGAGCGACGTCAATCGGCGTATCGGGGACGCCGCGGCCACTGCGGCTGTGCAGTCCACGGGTCATGTTGTTTCCCGCCTTCAGTGCCTCCTTGGCCCTTCCAAGCGCAAGACACGCCAGGCCAAGGGTCTGCCCCGACTTCAAAGGGCTGATGGCACCGTTGCGGAGACAGCAGATGAAGTGGTTGATACTTGGATTGAGCACTTCTCGGGCATTGAAGGCGGACAGCGCCGTACACCACACGCCTTGGCTCAGGCTTGTGTCAAGACACAGCAGAACAGGGACCTTGATTGCATCAACCTCACTGCTGCCGATGTGCCCACCTGCTGCGAATTGGAGGCCGCATTTCGTGGCACTCAGCTGCACCGCGCTTTCGGCACTGATTGTATCCCTGCTGAGGCTCTTCACGCAGTGCCGGGACACGCCGCCCGAGTGCTCTACTCCTTGATTCTTAAATGCACCATGCGCATCGAAGAACCCCTTCATTGGAAGGGAGGTTCTTTATATGCGGTATGGAAGGGTAAGGCGGCGCCTCACCAATGCCATGCCCATAGGGGCATTCTCGTTTCATCGGTAGTTGGCAAGGCGTACCATAAGATGCTCAGACAGCGCAATGTGCCTGCCCTTGCCGGTGTAGCCACGGCTTTCCAAATCGGCGGGCTGCCCCAACGCCCAGTCACCATGGCTTCGCACATGGTGCGGGCTTTCCAGTCCTGGGCTTGCGGTAATGGCTTTTCCCTTGGCATCATTTTCCTTGATTTACGCGAAGCCTTTTATCGTATTATGAGGCCTCTCGTCGTTGGATTTCAAGGCTCGGATGCTGACATTGCGGCGATTGTCAAGGAGGTTCACCTTCCTCCGGAAGTGATGCACGAGATCCATGAGTATCTCCAGGCCGAGACTCTCTTTGAGTCTGCTGGTGCCTCCTCATGGCTGTCCGCGGCTACCTGCGAAGCCTTGAGCCATACGTGGTTCCGATTCGAACACCACGAAGCCGTTACAGAAACGGGCATCGGGACTCGTCCCGGAGATAATCTGGCAGACATTGTCTTTAGTTTTGTCTTCGCACGGGTGCTTCACCAGGTGCGTACAGCTGTGGAACAAGAGGTCGGAATCGCCACACTGCCATGGCATTCCGACATGCTTGCCAACCTTTGGCCCGTTTCCTCCACAGCTACGGACTCTCTGGCCATCCTGGACAGCACGTGGATGGACGACACTGCGCTTGTTCTTTACACGACTGTCGCATCCGAGCTGCCGCACAAGATTAAGAGGACCCTAGGTATCCTGCTAGACAGCTGCCTTGGCCGCGCTTTACTGCCAAATCTCGACCGCGGTAAAACGGAGACCATTGTATCGCTCACTGGCACCGGCTCCCGCAAGCTCCGGGCTGAGCTTTTCAGAGATGATCCCCCACTGATTTCAGCCGACAGCCGTCTGTGGCCAGGAGCCACTGTGCAGATAGTACCCCACTATCGGCATCTCGGAGGACTTATTCATCATAGTGGAGCCCTTCTTCGGGAGCTGCGTTGCCGAGTTGCAATGGCATGGCAGGCCTTCAACAAGAGGCGCAAACGCATTTTCTCCTCTCGCTTTGTGCCGGTTGCAGACAAGGTTTCCCTGTTTGACTCCCTCGTGCTTTCCACTTTGCTGTTCGGTGCGGGGACTTGGCCCACGCTCACGAAAGCAGAAGAGCAATGCCTCTCGACGGCTTACTTCCAGATGGCCTGCACCCTCCTAAAGCCCGCGTTCGACAGTCTCCAGGCGCGGCGGCTTGGCCAGCTTCGCGTCCTGGCCTTGGCGGGACTGCCCACCATCAGCACACTGCTCCACTTGGCACGTCTTCGCCATCTTGCTGCATGTGCCACCAATCCTATCCCAGAACTGTGGGCCCTGCTTCATGCGGAAGCGAACTGGCTAGCCTCCGCACGCCATTCTCTTGAATGGCTCTGTGAGCTCGTCGCTGAAGAGGGCTGGGCCCCGAGTGCCCCAGAAGCCTGGCATCTCTGGATGGATACCATCCGATGCAATCCTGGGCGCTGGAAGCGTCTCCTGCGCAAGGCACAGCAGAGAGCTGTTCGCAGGGAGGCCTGGCACTCTGCCGGGGTCTACCATCGAGGGCTTCTCTCCAAACAGCTGCGTATTGCAGGCGGCATCTTGCTTGAACCTGTTATGGAGCTCTGGGACCGCCGGGAATGCTGTGGGCCTTGTCGCCAAACTTTCCCCAATCTCCAAGCCTGGTCTGTCCACGCTTTCAAGACACATGGACGGCTTACCGCTGGCAGAGGTGTCCTAAGTGGACGACAATGCCAGAAATGTCTCCGGCATTTTGCAACGAACCTCAAACTCTGCAAGCACCTTGCATATAGTCACCAATGCCGTCGAAGCCTCCAAGTCGCAGGTTACCACGCCCCAGTCGAACCCGGCCAGGGCAGCACCCGAGGAGAGGACCAGCACCGAGTCCAGGCCCCCGTTCTTCAGGCAGAGGGCCCAGTCCTGCCTTTTGACTCGGCCGAATGGTGCGACGAAGCCGACCGCCCAGTCGCTGAGATTTTGGACTGTTTGCGACATGTTGGCCTAGGCATTGCACATGACGATGTCCCCGCCGTTGAGGAGCAGATTCGAGTCGCCTTCGCCAGTGTTTGCGCGCCAGTCCGGCGCTTACGCATTACTGCTCGAGCCTTCCTGGCGACTCAACTGCTCGGACTGCCAGAGCCCATCCGCCCGATTGTTGCCCGGACACTGGAATGGGTTCCGACGGCTGACGTTGTGGAATGGCTTGTTCCGTCCCCCGATCCGAGTATCGATCCGACATGCACATTCCGGGACGAGGCCCTTGTGTTGGAGGCGTTGGAGGTTGCGGCCATTCGTCTCCCTAGGGCTCTCACTTTCAGTGAAGATCCTACTACGGTCCTTGTCGGCCCTGACGAGTGGTGTCTCCCGTTCGACGATTGCCGCAGGATCCTCTTTCCCTTCTCTGAATGTGTCGCCTCTTTGCGACAGGGTGATTCGCTCTCCTTTTTGGAAGGCCCCTTCGAGGATGTGGTCTTTGAGATTTGCCTGAACGACTGGAATGGATTTCGACAGTGCCCTCCTGTCTGCCTTCCACCAGCAAGCTTTCACCGGCAACTACTCCTCATGACCCTTCAAGGGGACCTAATGCGTTTCGCCCTTCGGCTCTGGGGCCGTGGAATTCCCACTCGACTTCTCTTCCCTGTCAGTTCCCGTCCACATATCTCGCTTCTGCTTGAGATTCCCGGGCTGGACTTCGTGGAGTCGAGCGGTTGGTGCACTCTGAGTAACTGCACGTGAACTCCGGCCCTTGAGTCTTGTCTCACTTTAATTAGGTGCCCGATGGGCCGCGACCGCTTGGAGTCTATGCCCGAAAAGCGTGAAAAGCGTGATATATATATATATATATATATACATATATATATATATATAACTATAACATGTGGCATGTAAAAGTTAATGTATGGCTTGTTCATATGTGACATATCATAATTCATAAACTATCTATTGTGGATGTGCTGACAACGTTAGGTTGACCATTTCTATTGCCAGGCCATCCCTTCCATCATCTTTGCCCAGGCAAAAACCACTGTATGACAACCTTCACGTCTGCCAGACTATGCTGACGTTTAAAGGCGCGACCTAGTTGTTGAAGTGCAGTGAGAAGGCACATCCTTGAGGCAGGGAAAAACTTTACACACTCACACTCGGCAGGCAAATCCCATCCTCGATTCGCACTTCCGCTTCTGTGCCATTGGCTGCAATTGCAGCGAAGGCGGCTGCAGCCACGTCAGCATTGCAGCGATCAAGAAGCAGCTTTCTAAACTGTCCTGAAAGACCAACGTTCAGTGAGAGGGCTTCAATAGCCATGGAGAACCTTTCATGCATCGCAGCGCGAAGTGGTTGGATGGAAACGCTGTTGTTGTTTCGTTTGACTTCTTCGCTCGCCTGTGAGGCTTCCCATCACCCATACGATTTAATGTCAGTGTTGTTCGCTTCTTGCTTGGCTCAAGGATCCCCAGCAAAAGAGGCTCTTGGAAGGCTTGCCTACAAGCACTGGCTCCGACTGTTCCCTTTCGGGATTTAGAGTTTACTCCTACGCGAGGGATTTGAGCTTCGACGTCGGCCACTTGGGGGTTTGCACTCCGCACTTCGCTTGGGCTTTCGTCTCAAGTCAGTGCCGGTGATGGCAGCACAAGTCCTGCCCAACGTTCCCAGTGTGAATCACAGCCAGCTCAGCTTGGCATTGGACAGTCGCAGGATACTGCTGCAAAGCCGGATGACGCAGTTGCGACGAGTATGTCTATGGTCGGATGCTTGCAAGCCCCTAGTCTCCGGTGCAAAGAAATGCATATAGGATGGCGAACATGTGGGTTTCAAGGCTGCCGTCCTTGGCGGGCATCTATGTAAAGCCCACCGCCGATGCTGCCGGCATTGCACACCTTCCAGTCTCCGCTTCTCTTTCCTCACTACCCAAAAACTCCAGCAACTTCTGCCATCTATCATGTCTTCTCTCAGGCTCCGTCTCGAAGAGTTTCCGGCTAAGGTCATTCAGGCTGCTTCTGTTCTTTCAGTCCCGGCCAAAAATCCGAAGCGGTGGCCCAAACCCAAAACCCACAACCCCCAAAATCCTGCATCCTAAACCCTAATCCTGCGTCCAATAAATTTGTTATGACCCCTGACGCTCTCAACCCGGCCTCGAAGGCGAGCGAACCGCCATGACGTACTGTGCCGCCGGTGGTGAGACGCAGGCCGCCACCTATGCCCACACCAAACTGTCCTAGTACAAGCAGTATGTAGCTTCAGACCTTCTTCCGTCTGCAAAATCAAACTTTAGAGGTTTAGGGTTAGGCGTGCTCCGTCAAAGGCTGGTATGTTAAGTCCACCCCGCAGCTAGCAGCCGGCATGGTCCATCACGCAGCCACGATTGGCCCAAGGCAGTTCCAAAAAGCCTGCAAGAGCCTGGAGTTCAAGAGTCCCTGGCCTGCACGTGCCCGGCATGCCTTGAAGCGCATGGAGCCATTGCCGTCGAGGACTCTTGTTGCAACACCGCCTCCGTGCCCTCAACAGCCAGGGACGCACAACGCTTCGGGGGGCACGGGGCTTCAATGAGTGCGTCGAGGCCATGCCCTTGACCAACTGCCTCCAGTGCCCCATGCAACCCTTCGGCTTCTGAAACATAGCCCAGTCTGTTCACGATACTCATCAGCCTCCACTGCCAAGGTGCGATCTGCCGAGCAGTGCTCGAAGAGCGCCGAACTCCCGGCTTCCTGCCCGTAGCCAACTGAAGCATGGAGGCCGCCTCCTGGGTTCGCCAGCTCTGGTTCTCCGAGAATAGGGGACCCAGACCCGAATATGGTATCCTAAATAGTAGGATCCTCATTTTAATTACAAAGGACCCCAAAATAAAGTACCCCCTGAAGCTGCAGTCAGAGGCGATGTGTCTGTGTGGCCAGTGAGCCCCCAAGCAACAACCCCCGACAATCCCTCCAAAAGAAAATGAAATCTGAAGAGCCCACAGCCAGATACTTACCACCAACCCCAGACGCTGGACTCTGCTTTTTTCTACACATTTGCTTCAACGGGGGCTGCTCCTGTCCTTGCATGCCCAACGGAGTGCGCGTCGGAAGGTTCCCAGCACGCTTCTTCTGGCGACAGTCACAAGAACACTGCCGCCCAGGCTCCATGTATTGCCGCACTGCAGCTGCGGAAGATGGCGGAGCTGTTAGGCCCCTGTTCGAAGTTCTCGTGCACGCGAGCACCTCCGCCGACGCCACCTGGGAGACATCGTGGGCTCAGACGCATGGCGTTGCCGCCCCCTGAAACTGCAGACTAGACCCGTGGGCAACAAGGAGGCGCATGGTCTTTCTGTGTCTTACCTGCCTGACATCCCTCATCTTCGAAGCTCTGCTCCGAAGAGCCCATGGCGCAGAACGAGGCCTTCAACTCCCCCGCACCGTTGCAGGATGCAGCCGAGGCTCGAGAGGCCGTGCAGCTCTCGAAGGTCACCGTGCTTCCGGCTTCTTGGGAGAAGCTGCCGTCAGTGTAGAGGCCACCTCCTTGGGGCACCCAGCAGACTCAAGAATGTAGTCAGAGGCTCCAAAATGTTCCTGCAACGGCCGCAGCCCAACCCCAAAATCTCGTTGAAAAACCTGCGCTCTGTCTGGCCCGCAAGCCCCGCACCCTCAATCTATCAATCCCAGAACCTGAATTGTGCTACACGCGTTTGACTGCAGGGTCTCTCCTGCTGAGCAAGTGGGGCTTGCGTGGCTCAAGTATGGAAAGCTCCCAGCACGCTCCCACTGGCGACAGTCGCGAGAACACTGCTGCCCAGGCTCCATGTCTTGCCGCACTGCAGCTGCGGAAGATGGAGGAGCTGTTGGCTCCCTGTGTGACGTTTGCTGTCACGTGAGCACCGCCGCCGTGACCTGGGAGGCAGCACGGGCTCAGACCAGTGGCGTTGAGTTCAGTGGCCTTCTGCATACAACGCCCGAAGCACTTTATGGGCCGCCTCCTGAAACTGCAGACTAGACCCGTGCGCAACAAGGAGGCGCATGGTCTTTCTGTGTCTTACCTGTCTGACATCCCTCATCTTCGAAGCTCTACTCCGAAGAGCCCATTGCGCGGAACGAGGCCTTCAAAACCCCCACACGTCGTTCCCAGAGGCCTCCCAGATACAACCGAGGCTCTATCGGCCGTGCAGTTCTCGAAGGTCACCGTGCTTTCTGCTTCTTGGGAGAAGCTGCCGTAAGTGTAGAGGCCACCTCCTTGGGGCACCCAGCAGACTCAAGAATGCAGTCACGGGCTCCAAAATGTTCCTGCAACGGCCGCAGCCCAACCTCAAAACCTCGTTGAAAAACCTGCGCTCTGTCTGGCCCGCAAGCCCCGCACCCTCAATCTATCAATCCCAGAACCTGAATTGTGCTACACGCGTTTGACTGCAGGGTCTCTCCTGCTGAGCAAGTGGGGCTTGCGTGGCTCAAGTATGGAAAGCTCCCAGCACGCTCCCACTGGCGACAGTCACGAGAACACTGCTGCCCAGGCTCCATGTCTTGCCGCACTGCAGCTGCGGAAGATGGCGGAGCTGTTGGGCCCCTGTGCGAAGTTCTCGTACACGCGAGCACCGCCGCCGTCACCTGGGAGACAGCACAGGCTCAGTTCAGTGGCCTTCTGCATACAACGCCCGAAGCACTTTATGGGCCGCCTCCTGAAACTGCAGACTAGACCCGTGCACAACAAGGAGGCGCATGGTCTTTCTGTGTCTTACCTGCCTGACATCCCTCATCTTCGAAGCTCTACTCCGAAGAGACCATTGCGCGGAACGAGGCCTTCAACTCCCCCACACGTCGTTCCCAGAGGCCTCACAGATGCAACCGAGGCTCGAGACGTGCAGTTCTCGAAGGTCACCGCACTTCCGGCTTCTTGGCAGAAGCTGCCGTAAGTGTAGAGGCCACCTCCTTGGGGCACCCAGCAGACTCAAGAATGCAGTCAGAGGCTCCAAAATGTTCCTGCAACGGCCGCAGCCCAACCCCAAAATCTCGTTGAAAAACCTGTGCTCTGTCTGGCCCGCAAGCCCCGCACCCTCAATCTATCAATCCCAGAACCTGAATTGTGCTACACGCGCTTGACTACAGGGTCTCTCCTGCTGAGCAAGTGGCGCTTGCATGGCTCATGTATAAAGGTATATAAGGCTCCCAGCATACTCCCACTGGCGACACTGACAAGAACACTGCTGCCCAGGCTCCATCAAGTTTTTCAGCAAGGCAGCCGCGAAAAATGGCGGAGCTCTTAAATCCCTGTGTGAAGTTATCTTTCACGAAAGCACAGCCGCCGTTACCTGGGAGGCAACACGGGCTCAGACGGGTGTCGTTGGGTTCAGTGGCCTTCTGCATAAAACTCCCAAGATACTTTATGGCCGCCCCCTGAAACTGCAGACTAGACCCGTGGGCAACAAGGAGGCGCATGGTCTTTCTGTGTCTTACCTGCCTGACATCCCTCATCTTCGAAGCTCTGCTCCGAAGAGCCCATGGCGCGGAACGAGGCCTTCAAAACCCCCACACGTCGTTCCCAGAGGCCTCCCAGATACAACCGAGGCTCTATCGGCCGTGCAGTTCTCGAAGGTCACCGTGCTTTCTGCTTCTTGGGAGAAGCTGCCGTAAGTGTAGAGGCCACCTCCTTGGGGCACCCAGCAGGCTCAAGAATGCAGTCACGGGCTCCAAAATGTTCCTGCAACGGCCGCAGCCCAACCTCAAAACCTCGTTGAAAAACCTGCGCTCTGTCTGGCGTGCAAGCCGCACACCCTCAATCTATCAATCCCAGAACCTGAATTGTGCTACACGCGCTTGACTGCAGGGTCTCTCCTGCTGAGCAAGTGGCGCTTGCATGGCTCAGGTATAAAAGGTATATAGGGCTCCCAGCCTACTCCCACTGGCGACACTGACAAGAACACTGCTGCCCAGGCTCCACTTCTCGCACTGTTGCTGCGGAAGATGGTGGAGCTGTTTCGTCCCTGCGTGAAGTTTTCATTCACGCGAGCACCGCCGCCGTCACCTGGGAGGCAACACGGGCTCAGACGCATGGCGTTGAGTTCAGTGGCCTTCTGCATACAACGCCCGAAGCACTTTATGGGCGGCCTCCTGAAACTGCAGACTAGACCAGACCCGTGGGCAACAAGGAGGCGCATGGTCTTTCTGTGTATTACCTGCCTGACATCCCCCATCTTCGAAGCGCGGCTCCGAAGAGCCCGTGGCGCGGAACGAGGCCTTCAACTCCCCCACACGTCGTTGCCCAGAGGCCTCCCAGATGCAACCGAGGCTCTATCGGCCGTGCAGTTCTCGAAGGTCACCGTGCTTTCTGCTTGTTGGGAGAAACTGCCGACCGTGTAGAGGCCACCGCCTGGGCACAAGGAAGCCCTGGCTTTGAATGCAAACGTTTTAGGGTGAAGGGTCTCCAATCGACAGTGACATGAGAAACGATGTGAAGGCTACTTGACTTTGGCACGCAAGTCTCTTTAAAGGGACTCTGTGGCCCTTTTGAATGCAGGGTCTTGCCGGCAGACCACTCCGAATGGTTACGCCCTCGGCTTGGTCGACCGGTTTAACGTCTGAAGTACCGGCCTTTTGATGCACTGCAGTTCTCGAAAATGACGCTGCTGTTGCTGACGATGAAATCTTTCTGGATGCGCAGAGCTCCTCCTTCTCCATCCTGGCCACTCCGAGCATGAAAAAATCTCAAACCCAAAATAATGCTTCGTCCTGCACGCAAGTCTGTTCGGCTGCGATTAATGTGCATCCCTGATCAGGCTTTATCACGTCGTTGTAGCATTACTTGGCACGAGAACTGAGTTCCGACAAAGCAGAGTGGGAAACCATCACTCAGCAGACTAAAATGCCGGCCTGCTTTGCCGTGTACCGCATGCCATCTCGTGCTGATGCTGCTTGTTAACACGGTGATGATTTTTGTTGTTGATGGCAAGCATGCCATGCTGTCGCATGCGTGCAACAATCATGCCCGGCGATTCGTAGGTCTTTCACGGAACATCTGGCTGGAAAAGCTGATGCGCACAAACCTTTCAAATTGCACAATGATTTTGAGGTCGCTTGGCGACATATCGGCAGATGCTGGCCATGCCGGTGTGGCATTGGCAAGCAGGAAAATTGCTTTAAGAAGAAGACCGAGTATCACCAGCTCTTCAAAGTGGGGACGCTATCGGGTCCCGTGCATTGCCGCTCAAGGACGAGTGTCCGGTATGGCGGGCTGCAGCAGCACGGCCAACAGGCAGTCAAGCACACAGGCAGTGGCAAACGCTCTAACAAGTGGATCTGGCAGTGCACCAGATGCTTGATCTTATGGTATTCGCATGTATTCGCCATAGATACATCCTCGATAGCAAACAAGATGAATGGTTGATACGACTAGCAGCGACTTATACACTTCACATCTTCACGGTTCTGGGTTTGGCGGTGGGACCTTCGAAATGACAGAATGGGTGATCGACATTCTGTTTTGACTACACAGAGAAAACAAAACCCCGGCTGGCCCGCAAGTTGCACTCCAAGGTTTCTGCTACGTTTTGCATGCGAACACGGTTCGATGCCCTTGTTTGCAAAACGGGTCTGGCTTGACTGCCGACTCAAGAGCGAGGGCTGCCGTCCGAGTTTAGAGGCTTTGGGTTCTTGGGGTTGGGGTCCTAGTAGGGCCGTGTTAACGGTTGGCGAGTTTGAGGCTTGGGCTTCGTAGGTGCAGGGCTTTACGTGTTCAGGATTTGTTTGGAACGTCCCAGCCTGCATTCTGTTTCTGCAGCCCACGAAGCTGGCGTTCGCGGCAATCACCGTCATCTTCCCGCTCACACTGATACCTTCATGAGGGCCGCAAACCCGAACTGCTGCCCCTGACTCTTCCTGCTGCCCGAGATGCAGGGTCCTTCCAGCTCCTGCTCCCCCATGATCTGTATCTCACCCGTCAAGACCAAATTGCCTGTCGCATGCAGACATTGTCTCAGTTCTCGACCCTTCTCCGAGCATTCACCCCTTGAAGTTTCGAAACGCTCAAAACACGTCAACGACTGGATTCCAGTACCCGGCCGTAGAAAGTCACGGGTGCCTTGAAAGGTCAGCGGCTCCTTGAGGGTCACCTCGCAGGCAAACTCAAAGGGAGAAAGGAGGAGGTCCTCGGGATGTAAGCGAGGCTGGAGGCAGAGCCGCAGCAAGTTTGAGAGATTGAGGCTTGCAGCTTGCGGCTTCGCGCAAACAAACTTGCATGGTTCATTTGGAACCAGAAGCTTTAGTCGAAGAATCGCGGAACTTGGAGCTGCACCACGGTCGCTTTCAATTTCCCGGCCTGCAGCCCTGGCTGCCCATGCCAGGTGCAATTGGTGCTGAAGAGGCGTGTCTTGTTAATGACCTGAATGCATATTCGAATCCAGAGCACGCGAGGCTGGCTGCTGCAAATTCCAGCATTACCAAATGATACTGCAACCGTCAAGAACTAAAAACCCACTCAAGCACAACCCAGCGACGTGGCTGCCGTTGCGCGGAAGTCCATCGCAGTGAGAGTATTCGGCCTGGGATGCACAGCAGCTGGAAAGAAGTGTGGCGCTCCAAGTGGCGAATCGCTGGCGTAAAGAGGTTTGGAGATCAACATGCGTAGTGAAGACATGCAAGGCCTGCTCTTGCGGCTTGTGGCGAATGCTACATGGTTGGAGAAGTGTCGCCATGAGAAATCAAAACGGCTCCACTTCTCCTTGATTTCGGGTGGCGTTGACGCTACATGGCATAAGGGCTTCTTTAGCTACTTCTGTAGCATTCGTGAACTCTGAACCCGCAACCGCAAGCAACGCAGACAAGCGACTGAGTCGCCTTCCAGAAAAGCAGTACCCGCCTCGACCGGTCAAGCGAGCCCTAGTTTAGGGTTTCGGGTTTAAGGTTAAGGGAAGTCGGAGGGGCTGTTGAATACAGGGGGGATGATGCGTGGCATGTTTGTGCTTTAGCTTGGTCCAATCCGAGAGAGCATGTGCCCATTCCTACCTCGAACCCACGGATCCCGTGTCCCAAACTCCTAGGAAGCCCTAAACCCTAACTCGGAAATACACCCGGCTTTCGACAGCACCGGAAGAGAGCTGAAACGCCGACTTCGACAGGAGCTGCCTCATGCCATCCAGGCTCGAGGTCCCGGGACCACGAAGCCTTGGTCCGGTCGCTAGGGCTTCTGAGGGCTTCAGGGCTTTTGCTCTGGGGCCTTAAGATTTGAGGGCTTTAGGGCCTTTGTTCGTGGATCAAGCCCCACGGACAACTGTTCACAGCCGTTTCCACCATGGTCTACATACTTGTTCGGAAGCGCTGTAAGTTTCAGTCGTGCGGAAGCATCGAACTTGGAGCTTTGCGCTGCAGGCATTAGAATAACCGGAAGAGCCGTCGACGGTCTTCACGTAAGGTTGCTCACAATGCACAGGTTCTAAAGGATGTTCAAGTCTTGAAGGAAAGGCGGCAGACGAAGCTTGGAAATCTAAGTTAACCATGAATTCAGACTGCCACACCTCGGCAGCCAGCAAGGGAATCCCTGAGACTTGCGCTCAAAATAAGTCCGAAACCCGGACCTTTATCCGAGGAATCCTCTGCCCTGGAGTTTTCAAAGCTATGGCGAGCCACAGATCGGAAAGCCATCTAGCGAGCTTATCCAAAAGCTGCAGACCCGAAAACCCCAAAAAATCTGTCACAAAACAGGCCTCTGCAATCGGGCGGACGTCTGGAGGGGCTACCTGCGAGGCTTGAACTTCATCAGAGCTGAGAAGCTTCCCGGTCGACCAAGCACATCCGAGAACCGGATGCACTCATCTGTAAAACCAGGATGAGCCATAAGACCTCAATCGAGCTGAAGAGCTGAACTTGAAAGGATGAGGTCGGCCTCTTTTTCCAGGAGCTGCTGGACCTCCTCCCGCGAAGGGCGCACGGCGCAGCCGGTGATGCAAAGCCCTTGAGCCGCTTCTGGGCTAATGGATGGCTTGGAAAGGGTTTGGGCACGACATCCGATTGAAAACCAGCACAGATCAAGCCAAGGCTCCCAGAAGGACCGTGGCGAAGATGCCGGCACAAGCCATGAGCCAGAGACATGGAATGCATCCCCCGGCTTCAAGCCGGAGAGCCGATGAAGAAGTCAAACAACGGAGCCATGATTCTGGCTGGGAGCCAGAGCTGCGGCCGGGCACACGTCACCTTTGCCTTCTTGCTCCTTGCTCCAGTTGAAGCTACTCACTGTACATAAATCGCGGGGGGGGATGCGTTCATCCGTATTTTTTGCATTCTGCAAATACAACTCCATTCGTTTCTATTAATACTTCTGATTAGATGAGCGAGCCTTCTTGACCTCTTTCGCAAGGGATTCGCGTGCCATTGCGAAGTTTCCGGGTGACAATATTAGCACAATGTCTGCAAACCGTTGTCAAAGGCCTGCTTTCTCTCAGAAGCTTTCTAGTTTTCGCAACTCGTTTTTGAACCTCTGTGTCCCTAAACCTTGAGCAAACCAGACCATTATTCATTATCCACGTGTGTCAACTCAGCCGTTTTCTTCTCCACCCAGTCACCTACACCTGCCAGGGGGTCATAGGCCTTTCTGCCGGTGGGACTGTGCCCGGCCCGAAACACTGCCATTCGCATGGATGATCCGTGCCACCTCGGCCCTCTGCAACTCTTTATTTATTGAAACATGTAAAGTAGCACTGATTGAATTATGATGCCTTGCTTGTTTTGGTGGTTCAACGAACAATCTTATGTCATCCATACATGTAGTAGTATTTTCGCAAATTTACGATTCATTACAAAAAACTTTTGATATTGACATTTGAACTCGACATATGGCACACGAATCACACGTCTCAACACTCTCGTTCCCTGGCTCTCATTTCTTTTGGCATAGCTCGCAGCCACAAAGCCAAAGTGTTCGTGAAGACATGCCACCGAGACCACTGCGACGCTCAAGCAAACTGCCATCACTCAGTCGCTGAGCTCTCACATGGCCTCCAAACGCTCTTTGTTCGATTTTTGGCTTGGACGGTCTCAGGTGGCCAGCAGCTGCTCCGCTGAATCTTTGAACAAACATCTAACGAAACAGAACAAGAAAACAACAATGCAACAGAAGCCAAGCAAAAAATGCTGCTGCGTCGTGGTAGCGATGCGTCGGCGCGCAGACCACCTCATCTGGATTTTAACTTTACGACATGTCTTTCTCGACAACAGGCATACCTTTTTCCGGCAAGAATGATCCGCAGACGCTCAGCTGCGAGGCAGCAGGGTGCCGCTTGCTTCCTTTGCTGCTTCTCGGTACCATCTACCAAATCACAGAGTTGCGTGCGCTCTCATCTGTGGCAGACATCTCCATAACTCTTCGTGCTTGGATGCGCTGGGCGCAGCATGTAACGATCAACCAAGCCAAATGCCACGCCCCGTCGTTTCACGCGGCAGTTCTCTAGCATCCAAAGCAGCTCTAGATGCAATCAAGAGCCCGATTATGCTTCGAAAATGCTTGAATCCTTTTTGTCGCAATCCTCTCAAGGCTGTGTGTATGAGCTTCCTTCGCTGCAATAAGAATGGCTGGATCTCGAGAATGGCTGCATGTTGGTGAGGCGGATGCATTACGAGGGCATGAGGTCACATCATGTGACGCCACTGGCCAAAAAGTAAACAATCTCTGCTGGCAAAGCCCGCTTATGAAGTTCGTCGGAGTTTCAAAAAGGTTATCAGCATCTAGATAAGAATACCACGATTGTGGGGACATGTACAATTCCCCTTTGAGGAACTATGTCATATAAACAATTGCAAGGGTAATCATTCAGTATTGCCCGAAATGATATTTGGGCTAGCAAACATATTTGCGAAATATATCAAAATGGCGACTGCTGACATGCTGCTCACTCGATTGTTTTACGCTCATCGGCAAACTGGGGATGAATCTTGTTGCCGGGCCCCTCGGCCCGGCATAAGATATGAGCCACAGCTCATCGTGACGTGCCCGGTTTAACCGTGCACCTCGAAGCATAAATCCCCCCCAGGGTTGGGCGGGCGGGACAAAATTTTGTTTTCCTCATTCACACTGATTGAGGAAACTGGCAACGGCATGAGATCATGAATAATTCACTCAGCAATCCATGGAAAATAAAAGATCATGCAATCAATAGTGGTGTCCATGAAAAGCAATCCAGTGGAATCAAGAAGAGTGCATCGTCTTCTCTTTTTTTTTTTTTTTGAAACCGCCTTCCCATGGAAGGCTGTCCGACGTTTCATAAAGGTATATCGTGCGCGCTCGACAGAGTTCTTATGAAGTTCGTCGGAGTTTCAAAAAGGTTATCAGCAAGATAAGAATACCACGATTGTGGGGACATGTACAATTCCCCTTTGAGGAACTATGTCATATAAACAATTGCAAGGGTAATCATTCAGTATTGCCCGAAATGATATTTGGGCTAGCAAACATATTTGCGAAATATATCAAAATGGCGACTGCTGACATGCTGCTCACTCGATTGTTTTACGCTCATCGGCAAACTGGGGATGAATCCTGTTGCCGGGCCCCTCGGCCCGGCATAAGATATGAGCCACAGCTCATCGTGACGTGCCCGGTTTAACCGTGCACCTCGAAGCATAAATCCCCCAGTCTGCTTTAGCCTTGAGACACAATCGACTTCAGAGCAACTTTCGACAGCGGACACCTGGGCACCTCCACGCGTACAGACCAGTGGCTAAGCTCGGAAAGCGATCCACGGCTCGGGGCGTCTGCAATGTTGGACGCGGATGGCACACGTGCTATCCATAAATAGCACGGTGAAGCTTCCTGCGGGTTTTCAAGGATCATAAGAATTTCCCGCCAAATCGCGACGGATGCATCTCCTTTGACAAGAGTATCAAGTGCTGGCCAATTGTCGACAAACAATATCACTCGGCTGCCGTCCAAGTGTTTGCGCCAATGCCGAAGAGCCAGAATGGCGCCGTAAAGCTCCACAAGACCTATGACATGTTTCTTGCCATCGGATCTCCAATGAGACAGTACGTTTGCCGGCACCTCGCATCCGAAAGCGTGAACGTTGGGCTCATTCGGTTTAAACATGACCGCCCCCACAGTAGCCGGTCCGTGATCAAGGTTATCATCCTCCAGTGCTCCGTCTGTGAACAGCAGAATCGGCTTTTCTTTCCACCCAGCACGGATGACACGAGGCTTTCCATGCGTCAATCTTTGCTGAAGAATCTTAAGCGCTTCGATCCCGCTGGCATCAAGGGAGACCGGAATCCTGGAAGTAAACCCTAAAGACCTAAGGTCGTGCATGGCCATGCGCCCTGCTCGGCCCCATATTTGGCCGTCGGCGAACTGGAGCTTGCCAATGAAGGACGGCAGTCGGCAAGGGACTAAGGCCTTGTCCCTGAGCACTTCCTCGATCACTGCATTAAGCTCCTCACACCGCGACGGCTTGTTCCTGATGTTGATTAGGCCCTCCGAGCTCTGGGACACATCCAGAGTAACTCCCAAGACTTCGACATCCGAAGAGAAGGGGGTGCATTTCTCCTCTGCAAAGTCAAACCCCGCTAGCTTAAGGAAACCCTTAACTAAAGCCGAAGTTGACGTGGCCACCAGCGAGTGAGTCGCCATAGGGAAGTCGTCGAAGTATGCTGACCAGCACGCTCCCAAGTGGCACCCTAGGGCATGCAACAGCAAACTGACCCGCAGAAAGTGGTACACCGAGGCCAACGCTCCGAATGGAAGCGTGCGCATGACAAAGCACGAGATGGATCCTGTCTTGGGATCCTTCAAGGTCACCACACTTTTGTCGAAGTCGCAAGGGTTCAACGGTAGTTGTTTGTATGCTGATTTCAAGTCCAACGTGGCGACTTGCATGCTCGCCCCCGGCTTCTGCCAATCAGGATGGACGAGACCTGTCAGTCTCTCTCCGGAGGATAAGGTAAAGTCGACTGCTCCTCGCTTCCGGTAGAAGTGGCACAACACGGAAAGAGACCATAAAAGATGGTCCATCGCCTGAAGCACGATGCGCTCGCTCGTAGAGCAGGCTTGGTTTACAAGATTCTCCTTGAAGTCGTCAATCGGTCTCAAGCGTCCTTTTTGCACAACACAGAATCGGCGCACCGGGATCCACGCCTCGAATCTCTTTCCAATGTCTCCTGGGGTCATCGGCCCGTCCAACCACTTTTTCTGGGTAGCCTCCTGAAGAGTTACATCGTACAGCTCCTCGGCGTTCTCGTCAAGAGGATCGGCTGACACACGTGCCAGGAGAGAAGCTCTGATGCTGTCTGCATTTTCCATCAACTCGGATTCGCTGATGGAGGCGAGGTACCCTCCTTCCCTGAACACACCAGAAGGGCTCAGGCACCCAACCAAGCGAAAGCCTTGGCGCATCTCAGAGAAAAGACCCTTGTCGGGCCAGTCTATTTCGGCCGCCATCTCCTCCAGTAGCGCCGTCCGCTTGTTGGCGAGGATCTCCTTCACGGACGGTTGCATCTTGGCACGGTGAGCGTGCTCGACTGGCGCCAGCTCAGTCGCTCTGGCCCTCCACTTTTGCAGACGAAGAAGTCTCAACTTGCAGATCTCTGCAGGGGATTTTGTCAGCTGCTCAAACAGGGATTTGATCAAGTAGTCCGGCAACTGCGCAAGAGAGTCAAAAGGATGATATAGCAGCTTGGCCTCTCTGACGAAAGACTCTGGGCTCCTAAAGACCCCGAAAACACAGAAGAGACCCTTATTCCCCCTATTTTCGGAACGCAAGAGCTTGCTCCCTGCGGGGACACCGTGCACATCCTGCGTAAGACATCGCTTGTGATTAAGAGGCGGGGGCCGGGGCAGGAGGCGGGATAGAACTGCAGCGTGCTCTGACAAGAGCTGTGGGTGTAGGCGTCCTCGCGGCTGCTTATGGGCTCGAGCCAAAAGTGGCTGAGCCGAGCCCAACACGTAGTTGAGCCTGGCAGCCTCCGACTCAAAGACATCACACAAGGCCTGGCACATGGCCGGAGGATAGGCTGCTTCCTCCGCTGTGGCGAAGGTGTCATCAGAAGTAAGGCCCCACGTTGCATGTTGTTTACAGCCTGGGCACATCAGAGCCATGCGAGAGATGCCCGAGCTGCTGCACAAGAAAGATGTTTTCTTATCTCGTTCGCTGCCGAAAGCGCAAGCCTGGCAATGCGCGAAGAAACCATGAGCCAAAGGGTACGCAAAACATGGCAACTCCCAGAAGGTGCTGTTAGTGGGGTTTTCGACGCACCAAGGCACAGAGTGCTGATCGCACAATTCAAGAAAAGCGCATAGTTGCTTGTATAAGGCATTGGCAGCTTTGAGCTTGACACAATCTCTGGTGGAGGCCCACGGGACACCCCACGGATGTGAAGTGGTGCGGAGCACTGGGGGGCCCGGGCGAAAGTGACGAGCAGCACTGCAAGTGCCGCAAGGCGGAGCCGCAAACACCATGGCAACACGACGGGATTTGATGACAAACTTGAGGACCTCCGAGGAATGGCTCTGGGTCAAGTCCAGATTGACCATCTTGCACTTAGGTGTGTGGCGGTTGTGAGCATGATCCACGGGCATGATTGCAAAGCCGCGGCTGGCGGCTGTCTGACTGAGGATGGCGGACCCGGCGCACAGCTCGATCACTAGAGGCCCGTCCGCAGGCAATTCAGCGGAGGGGAAGGCCGGACTCGGTTGAGTCAACGGCGCCGAATCAGTGGATACCTGAGGACACCGCAAATCGTAGCCTTGCAAAGGGTACGGCTTCATTGTGGGGCCCTGCTGGACATCACGGCCGGGGATCTTAAACCCTAGGGAGGTCAAGAATTCCCTATCATCGGGAGCTAAACCGGAGAGATGACCCACGGTAAACGCAACCAGAAGAGATCTGGAGCCCTGCCACGGCAAGGTGAAGTGTTTGCAATGCTTAGCATCAAAAGCCCAAGCATGAGTAGCGCAATCAAGTTTGAAGCCTGTCCATGATGCATCTTCGTAGAAGGTTTGATCTGGACCCTCAGGATGCACGACGAAGATGTGTCCACCTGAGAAGGAGGACAATGGCACAACAACATTAGGCACGCTGCTATTGAAGGAATCTTGATGCATTGGAGCTTGCAAGTTCCGATGCACAGACACAGACGTGAACTCGCATTGGGGTGCGACGAGTCTGATACACGCGGCAAGATACTGTGCCACTGCTGGCATGCGCCGCGTGTTGCTGCGAACAGCGGTGACTCCTCCTCGGTTGCATGCACCGACAGTTATATGGCCTTAGAGTCGCCATCGGATTCCAGCCAGGTCCGAGTATGGTCCTCGGAAGGAAAAGCGTCCAAAATGGCCGCTATGTTGTTTGCACCGAAGTCGGAAGATTGTAAAAAGTGACTTGCCAAAGACTCGCAAAACGCAAATGCATCATCTAATTTAGCCGCCTTACGGGGCGGCTCCGGGGGAAAACAAGTGGAGTCGTTGAGCGACTGTTCAGCTGCTGGTTCCATACCGACAGTTGAGCCATAGCTCTGTGTGACATCTAGCCCACCGTGCGCCACTGGCGATGGTGGGTCATGCGCGCTCGTCTGACTCATTAGTCACGACGAGGGCGCCTTCTTCGCAGGGCAATCCTTGGCTGGGTGCCCTCTATGGCATCCTTTGACTGCGCACAAGTGCAGTCCTCTTTCACACCTTTGGTTGGCCACTGCTCGGGAGCATTTCCCTAGCGAATAGTCGAAGCATAAGGCATGCCCCTTAGGCGTAGCGGCCACGCACCCAAGTGCGAGGAGCTCTGCCGGGACTCTGGCATTTGTTGAGCCCTTGCCGGCGCCCTTGCCCCCGCGCCCGCGACCCTGGCCCTTGCCATTGCCCTTATGGCGCTTGATCGGGGGTTCATCTCCTGAGGAACCATCGCGGCTTGCTCCTGAGCCTACTGCAAGAGGCCTCGGAGTCAGCATTGAAAGAAACTCAGTGCTCTCAAACACTTTGCGGAAAGCGCCGTCACATGGCCGTGATCCTCCTGCCTTCACCTTGATGCCGCCGCGGGTGTGTTCCGCGAGCAACATGGTGAATTGACGATCAGCTTGCTCAATCTGTTTCAAGCTCACTCGCGCATGATTCGGAGGAGGGTCCATAAGCCTGAAAGACATGTACTTTTCAAGCAACTCATCGTGCAAATGGTACGCCAAGATGTTCGCCTGTTCAAAGGCTAGGCCCCTTCGCACTAAGGCGTAGCGAACCATCATATCAGTGGACACATCACAAGGAGTCACGTTGGGCTTGCTGGCAATCTTTAGGCCGCCTGCAGAATCCAAGGTAAGCGAAGCATCCTTCTTGAGCCCTGTAAGAAGCTCATGCTGTCTGCTAACAGAATGCTGCCACTCCACATACTGGAGTCTGTCAGATTCGTAGATCGCCACAGCCCGATCAATCAAGGAGTCGCCTGGCTCCATATTGCCCCTCAAGTCAAGACCTTTAAGTCTGGACTGCTGCTCCCGCAAACGTTCGGCCCTGTCTGCTGGAGCTAGTTTCTTGATCGATGAGTCTTCTGTTGCTTCCACCTGCGATCGGATGTCGGATGCAACAGTTGCGTATGCCTCGGCGAACAGACGCCGAAAGCAACTCATCTCCTTAAGGGAAGGCGCAGCACCGAGAACCTTGGTTACCAGGTCGGTGAGAGGTTTCTCGTCTGTCGCCGACGGGTTGAAATGACAACAGAAGGCGAAAGTTGCCATCGTTGTCAGTCCCTCCGCCTCAAGCTTCGCGAAGCTCTCATCAGAAACTCCAATGTCCTTGGCTCTCGCCTTGAAGACAGCCGCACTCTCTCCAAACGACATGGCTCTTTCTTTCTAGACTGTCAAGCTCAGACTAGGGCCCAGCACGCTTTGCAATCACTTTTGTCATCGGTAGCTCCCTAGCGCATCACACAATTCACGTGACAAGCATCGCTCAAACAGCACTTGTAGTTCTGCACTTCCGAGACACAAGCAGTCACTACGAGATCGCGCTGGTTATTCATCCACGACCAAAGTGACATTTGCATGTTGCCTTTTCTCAGACCCCGCGAATTTCGCCCACGCGTGGCGTTGACTCCTGACACGGCTTTTGAACCTCAGGAGTTTGGAAAGCAGGTGGCGCATGTAGGATACATAAATCTTGGCGCCTCGCTTAAAATCTCAAAACGCACTGAGATCGCTCTACCGCACTTCAAGTGGGTCCCGGCCTCATCTCTCACCTTGTGCAAGAACCTAGTCTGTTTGTGACGAGCCCAAGGCCCGTCGCCGGGCTCGGGGCCCCACTGACCGGCGATCTGCTCCAAGGCCTGCTCCTCGTCACTCACGGGGGCCTCTTCCTCATCATCGGACGCCTCGCTAGAGCTCGATGATATGGCGTCAGCCTCCTCCTCATTCTCAGGTGGAAGCTGTGGATCTGCAAGATTGGCTATCATCCCACTTCGAGTGAGATCCGGCTTGAATCTACCGGCGGCAATCTCGTCGCAATCTCGTCGATTACCTGGTCCAGCTCGCGCAATGGAGCCGCTAATGAATCCCTGGCATAAATGATTAACGACTTGTCCTTACGCGGCACGTGGTAACCCAGAGTGCGACGAGGGCCGGCCGGCACGCCTCTTTTCGCCATCCAGGAGAGCGGTGTACTCTTACAAGAGTGGGTCGCGATCTGGACGTCGCCAGGTGCTGCACTCGCGCCAGGAATCAAGCTTCTCAGCCAGGCGCCTCCACTTGAGACCTTAAGCGGAAGTCTTGTCCACCCGCCTCCGGTTGCGGGGCACGGAAGTGTAGGATAAGAACTATCGAGACCCTCTGCCTCTCGAAGCTCAAGCCATGCTCTGATCCAAGGCCTACCTCCTACACATTTCAACGGAACAGCGATGGGAAGAGAGCGGATCTTCCTTTCAAGCGACACCGATGTCTTGGTCCTCTCGGCTTGCCCTTCAAGGTACCCTGATTCCACGCCATCAATCAAAGCTGAATCAATCGCGAAACCTGAAGAACGTTGCATGTCTGAAAACCGTAGGCGACCATATATCATAAGCAGAAAACACCCAGCTGCGATTCGGTCCATTGGCCGCGCCATGGGGCTGAGCACGAGAGCTTCGAGTCGCTTGACTTGCTCCACGGTTAGAGCAGGCCTGCGCTTAACTGCACACCTCGTCGAGTAATGAGCATTTGCAAGCCCTACGATCCTCCCGCTGCTCAGGGCTTCGTCCAACACGATCAAGCCTAGCAGATGTTTGGCGAAGCTGAAAGCGATAAGCAGCGACCTGAACGAAGTCGGGGCCGCATTCGGATTTGCCTTGAAGTAATCGTAGAGCTGGTGCTCTCTCACAGGCAGGCACACTACGAACTGAAGCTTCCAGAAGTGCACGTATCTGAAGATGGGTCCCACGCGTTGGTGCAAGGTAGCTGTGGCTTTGTCTGCAAGACAGTCCTGCACACTTTCCACCAAGCCTCCTGTGGCAAATTTAGGATCGAAAGGCCCCATGGCTTGCTTGGCTACACCCCAGGCGTTAAAATCCAAGGAAACAAGCGTAACCCACTTCTTCAAGGCACACTTCCTATTAGCATCCAGGGCCTTAGACCTTAAGTGAGCATCTCGGGCTGACAATGGCTTCAGTCCCGCTGCAAGGAATGCTGACTGCGAGGCTCCAAGATCTGGGCCGGAGCTGGAAGAAGCGGCCATCGGCCCTGGACCCGGCGCTGGGGGCAAGAGCCCTGTCGGCCTAGGCAAGAGGCAGCTTCTCCTGAAGAGCGAATGCATTTGTTCTGGAGGGCTCGGGAAGATGCCTACCGATCTCTTATAAGCATTCCAAGTATGAGCTGCATGAAAGGCCACTGCCCGACTGTCGAACGGGGCAGATTCATCACCTTCGCCCATCTTTCAGCTCTGCTGCCATCTGCCGCTGTCGGCGACAGCGGCGTGCACGGTGGGCTAAGCCCAACGTCGAGAGAGGGGCCCTGGTTCAATGCAGGGTCCTGAACCTCAAAAGGCCCCAACAAAATTTTCTTTTCCTCATTCACACTGATTGAGGAAACTGGCAACGGCATGAGATCATGAATAATTCACTCAGCAATTCATGGAAAATAAAAGATCATGCAATCAATAGTGGTGTCCATGAAAAGCAATCCAGTGGAATCAAGAAGAGTGCATCGTCTTCTCTTTTTTTTTTTTTGAAACCGCCTTCCCATGGAAGGCTGTCCGACGTTTCATATCGGTATATCGTGCGCGCTCGACAGAGTTCATGTCGCAGCTTGTTTCACCGCTTTGTGTTGTTGTTCTTGCTAGTTAGGCTTCTTGTCGGGATCGACCCGCCCCCTTCCCTGCGCCTTTGGCTCCGTGCCTGTGGGTCAGGGGGACAAAATCGTGGACATCTGATGACCATTCTTCAGTTCTCGAAACTCGGACTAGCATCTGCTGGCGCAGCCATGTTACGAGAATGGCTTGCACAACTACTGGATTGGGCACTGTCAAAGCTTCACAATCTCGCCATTCGGAGGCTACAGGACATGCCATACAATTGCGAGTGAGCGGACATGAGGTCATAACATGTGATGCCACGGGCCAAAAGCTGAAGACTTCTGCTGACGGCAAAGTCCGCACGTCGCAGCTTGTTACACCTTTTGTGTTGTTGTTCTTGCGAGTTGGAGGCTTCTGTTAGGGAGTGCTGCCACAATCATTGAGGCCTGCCCACGCCAAAACAAGGACAATTCGATTCCTTGGCGTATATCCGTAACCTGCTGCAGCGTACAAGTGCACAAGAACGAGGGATAGACGACTGAGATCCTCAGACGCCCAAGTGCGACCAGGTGGCTTGTCTCAAACAGTGAAGAACTGGGTTCTGGACACCAGTTGCCTGCATCCAAGAGCGCTGCCTGTTGGCATTTGTGGCAGCCAGTTTTTTACGCACGTCTAGCGGGTGTCCACATGACCGACTGGGCAGCCGAGCTGTACCTCCAGGTGCTGATCTCTGGAACTGGAATCTGACTGCTGGAGTCAAGTCATCAGTGGCTGGAGCTTCCAGCAGCAGCTGCAACCACTGGAAGGCGTTGTGCGATCACATGAATGGCCGCCACACGACGGCAATGAGGGCAAAGTGCTTGCTGAGAAGTCCATGATTACTTTGATCCATAACGGCATCCATGCACTGGAGCGCACCATAAGGAAAGTTTGCCGAAAGGCCGGACATGCCGTTTCGCCGCGGTAACTAATTATTGATTGAAAAGAAACAAGCGGTGTGCGTAGAGCGTAAGCCGCCAGCGAACAAAAAACGCGCTTTTCTGTCTTTGCTTTCCAATCTCCGCACCTGTACGAGGTGGAGTAGGGCTCACAGGCTTCTTGAAAGCAAAGATGTCTTTCCAAGTGACCTTCTGCTGTCTCTTCAAGACTTGTAGCACACCGAAACCATGTCCGCCGAATCAGTGCTTAAGCTGGAACAAACGCTTAACCTGAACTCCAACCCTTTCTGCTCCTCAAACCTGTCGTTCATCCAGAATTCTGGATTCGGTCGTTTGGCACAAGTGTGAGATGCAAACTTTTTTTGGCTTGACTGGGCCTCGTCGAGTACGGCTGTAGCACTCGGTCCCTACAAACAAGCGAAACTAAAAACCAAGCAACAAACTACAACAAAGCGGTGAGACAGCAAAGCGAAGCTCTACAAAGGGCTGCGGCGCACAGGCTTTGCCGGCGGTAGCCGTTCAGCACAAACTACGGAGCCTCAGCGACCGGTCAGGAGCAACAAAGAGCCGTCGCTCAGAGCTGCCCAAAACAACAGGTGGAGCCAAGTCCAGGCTCCGGTTGCCGTTCTAGTCTCGCCAGACAACGGACAACCCCTGTGTTTTGTTCCGTCACGATCGTGCACACCAAAATCCAAAAGTCCATGGCCCACTGCAGTGTGAGCGGCTTCCGGAGGAGGAGTGCGAAGACCAGTGCCGCAGGAAAGTAACCCGCTCATGCAACCGCCGTCATCGTCCCTGGGCGTGCCAAGCGCCTAGACGGCGCTCTAATGCAACACTGGCAACTAGTGTGGGCCACACCCACACGGGCAACCTGCCGGAGTCCTACCAGTGACAAAGTTGCGCGACCACGACACTCTGGTGCGCATGGTCGCCGCCGCCAGCAGAAGCAAATCAATGTCGCAAGCCGTGAGCTGGAACACTGGGTCAGCCGCTAAGACAGGCAGAGATCGCCAAGGTGGACATTGACATGCAGGTCACACGCTTCCACAGCATCGCCGCACCGTTGTGGCGGCCATGGCAATTGAAGACACCATTCGGTGGTGGGAGCAAACACGATGGACAGTGGAAGGGGCGAGCGGCGTATGTCGCAGGCAGGCGGCGAAGCTTAGGAGCTCAAGGTGATGGTGCATCAACATGGTATCGAGGGCATGAGTGACATGGAGAGTAAAAAAGACTCAACGACGTATGTCATCAGTCGCAACGGCTTCCACAGGGGGACAGCGATCACAGACAGTGATGAACCGCCTGATCCCGTTTGTTCCGTCACAACCAGGGCACCCCGAGCCAGAATTCCAAAGCCCACTGGCAAGCGTGGCCGGCATCCAACCAGCGGGTGCATCGACATGGTGGCGAGGGCCTGCCTGCCCACGTCGTTTGAGCCCGACCTCGGCTAAGCACACTGAAGCCGAGTAAACCCAATTGTCACTTGCTCGAGAGAGAGAAAAGGACGCAACGACGTATGTCGTCGGTCACAATAGCGGCTGATAGAGACTGACTGTCAACCAGAAGGGCCAGCCGCCGCTTAGCGCGGCCAGCTGTCGAGTTGGCGCTGCATGTCACGACCGCTCGAAGGGAAATGACTCTCCCTTAAGAGATAGAGCAGCTGGTAATTTCCCGCTCGATAGATTTCCGTCACCCTTCGGAATGAGTATTGGTGAGTATCCTGATCGGGGGCATGCAGATGTGGCATTAGATCGGTGGATATACATGGAAATTGGAGGCCAGGTCCAAGGCCCCCTTCCCTGCGGAACTCCTCTGCCGCTGCCCTCCAGTCTTCGTGCGCCCAGGGATGCCCCAACCTGACCCAGGGACGCTCGCCACCCGGCAGCTCCTGCGCCTGATTCTCTTCCCGGGCGACCAACCGGTGAAGGAGGACCATCGCTTTCGAGTCAAATGCGTCGAAATGCGCGAAGCGCCACAAGCGGTCTGGAAAGTAAAAGTCTTTCTTTTGTGGTCCACGTATCCAATAAGCCACTACCGCCCGGAGATCCCATCCATCAGAGGTAGCAGCAGCACGAAGGCGCCACAGTGCACTATTCAACAGGCCCGCGGCCTGAATCGAAAGAGAGGGCTGTGCTTGCAGACCTAGCGGGATGTCCGCAAGCGGAAAGAGCAGACGAAAAGTGCCCCGATACGCTCCCGGATACGTAAACATTCGCGGATCGAACTCGCCGCGTCTGGCTGGGAGGAGTCCACTCTCGAAACACGCCATCAGCCGGTCAGCAATGGCAATTTGGGGCTGGCCCACCAGGGTAGCCGGCACCTCGCATTTGACTCGCACCTCAATGTGCTGACCGTCACGAGTCGGAGTAGTTGGTGAGCTGCAAGAGTGGAGCAGCCGCAGGGTCGTCTGCTAATGCCCTTGTGAAATAGAGCAGCAACTGCACTGGCAATAGCACACCACAGTGAAGCAGAGGGGTCCCTTGGTTCGAGTCAAGGCTCGCGCCGCCATCCCCAGTAGAGTGCCGATGGCTGGATCCGGGGCCACGTCGGCTGCCTGCCGGCAGATGGCCTCGCTTGGGAGCCAAGGACATTTGCACCAAGCTGCCGTCCCGAACAGGGGACTTCCGTCCTTCCAATGCACAGTGGAGCGACCCTTTGAGCCCAGCAAGCTCATCCAAGAGCAGCCACCACCAAATCTCCGGCCGAGCGAGCTCATACCAGGACAAGTCGAAAACTCGTCCTTCAGGTAGGCGCAGAACTGGGTCGCAAAACTGTGCTAGTGCGACGGACACTGCCAGCATGGGTGTCAGACAGACGCGAAATGCTTCGCCATCAGTACAGCGCCGTAACATGAGTGCCCGGTCAGCGAAGTCAACCACCTTCACCCCAAAATTCTGCGGGCTGAGTTTGACTTCACACGCAGGCAGGGACAGGGGGAGGGAAAGCAAGGTAAGGCAATCGGTGGGGTTAGGTAGTAAATGTTGTAGCGCACTAGCGCAGTCCACTCCCTCGACAGGCCGCTGTTGCTTGCCCCGGGCTTGGTAGCGGCGGAGAGTATCATGCTGCTCCTCAAAGTCGTCCTCGTCTTCTGCCGGTACACACCGGCTAGCAATGGCTGTAACTCCCGGCACTAGGCGACTAGGCGGAGTCTCCACCGCATTCAACAGAGTCGCCACACGTTGGCTCCATGTAGCTCTAGGGGCGGCAGGAAGGGAGGCAGCGCAACTTTGACTGCGCAACTCCGCGGTCAACGCAGGATCCTCCTTTGCAGGGGTGCCTGCCTCCGGGTCCGGGCGAACCTTTCCCGTCGGATCGTAGAGGGCACGTGGTAGGCCCGTAGTAGCGACCGGTGGCAGCATAACGGTTGCGGAGCAAGAGTGGCGCATCTGTGACGACACGAAACGCTGCTTGTGTTAACAGTATCCGAAGCAATGGAATAAAGGTAGAACGCCCCCGGCACGGCGGTCACCAGCGATTCCGCGGAGTCCGTTTGGCCTCTACACA